CAAAAAGAGATTTCATATCACCAGGCACAAATATACGCTTCTGCTATGAAGCCCTTTAGGCTTTTGCATATAGAAAATTCATGAACTCTCTTTGAATGTCCCTTGCTTCTGAAAATCAGACTATAAAATAAGACCACAGACTGATTTTGAAGAGAATCTTTCAGTATTCATAAATGCAGGATTTTTCTTTCCAAAACAAAACAGCAATGCAAGGCATGCAAGACAGAAATAGCTTATTTTACTTCAGCTACTCTGTAGTATCTTAAAGAACTACTATTTACTGTGCGGGTGCTTATTGCATGCTTTGTTTATTATACAAGTATGATTTGAAAAATGTGGAAAAGAAAATTTTGTAGCAGGAACAGAGATAAAAACACACACGGATTAAAGAAGGAAACATTTGTTTATTAAAAAGGAAAAGGTTCTGGATGGCAGCACCAAGTCAGACATGAGACAGATGACTGTATGCACAGCTGTTCACGTTTAAAGACAGAATATAGACATAAATACAGTTAGATCTTCGCTCTGCTCTGCTGCTACAGTATTTTTATACAGTCAATTCAAAGGAATATCTGTCAAACTGAACACAAGGGAAAAATTATCAGAAACGGCGCACAGATTGCTTTCTCTAAAGCCAGGATAACCAGGACCAAGAAAAGCCTCTCAAGCTATGGAATTACAAAACAAACTTAATTGTGTAAAAGGAAACCACCTTCTGTTGGTGAGATGATTAAATGTCAGATATGACTCCAAGTCAGAGAGATAACTTGTTCTTCTGTTTGAATAAAATGCAGAAGGTAATTTTCCCCTGCTATTATCAGAGTACTTCTGTCTGAAGGAAAGCCAGTATGGCTGAGAAGGAATTCACTTTAAAAAACATAGTTATAGTTTGCTTTTCCTATGATCTATTCAAACTATTTGCAAAGCAAAATGGAAGGAGAAACTGATACAGCCCCCTCAAAGCTGGTTTCTTAATATATAATTATGACACCATCCTGAAAAATCATAAAAGCTCAGCATAAGATGGCCAAGTAGTACAGAAAAGCAAAGCAGACATTATAAGAGGGAGATCATGAGCTAGTCCATAGGATTTGAATTCTTGGCTAGTATTCCCATTGGATAACCTTGAGGACAGTGCATATAAATACCTTAAGGAAGGGAGTGAGGAGGATGAGGCCAGCCTCTTTTCAATGGTGGCCAGCGATAGGACATGGGGAAATGGCCACACAATGAAGCACCAAAAGTTCTGCAGGAACTTAAGGAAAAATTCCTAACAGTGAAGGTAACAGAACCCTGGAACAGGCTGCCCAGGGAGGTTGTGGAGTCTCCTTCTTTGGAGATCCTTAAAACCCGCTTGGATGCCGCCCTGTACCCTGTGCACCCTGCGTGTGCAGGGGTTTGGACTAAATGATCTCTAAAACCTTCCAGCCTTTATAATTCTATGACCATCTGGTACTAGTTCTGCCAAGTTGATCACCAGTATTATTTTAACTTGTTTTAAGATACTCCAGAGTTATTTAGTTATTTGGTATATCAGTAAGTATAAGGAAAGTATGAGTAGCTTTGAGCATTTCATAGCTCAAGTACCACATCTACAAAGTGGAAATATGTGAGTATATTATATCATGAAAGTTAATTTCATAGAAAGGATCTGGTAGTTTTGATTTTTTTTGAGTGTAATTTGAATGTGTTTTAATTTATATATAAAGTCATCATGGATTCATTGCCAACAGTTTACAATGAAATCACTACTGCCATGTTAATGCATTATGTTCGTTTTTTTTACATTTAATTCCCATTTAAAAATTCAGTTATCTTGCTTTAAAATTATTATTGTACATGGTTTTTGTGTTCTCTCTTTTTAAAGGATAAAATATTATGGCACACTTCTGTTTCAGTTTTAATTTAGAATCATAGAATGCCCAAGGTTGGAAGGGACCTCAGAGGTCATCGAGTCCAACCCCCCTGCACACACAGGGTCACCTAGAGCACGTGGCACAGGGCTGCATCCAAGCGGGTTTTAAAGATCTCCAAAGAAGGAGACTCTCAAAAAGAAGGACACTCTCTAAAGATCTCTCAAAGAAGGAGATTTAAGTTCAGTTTTGGCAGCCACTGATTATCAGACAAATCTACTGGGGGAATGCATTTATTCAGGGAAACCGAAATAGTCTCGGTAAAATTCAGAAAGCACTGGCAAGAGAGCAATTTTTTTTTCAGATTTTGTATTCCTCAGGGATCTCATGTGTAACCACAATAAAACTACAAAAGACATGAAAATGATCCCACTTCTATATCACTTTTATTTCAAACAGTAAACAAAGCTGACAAATTCAGCTAAATACTTTTCAAATCATCAAAAATGTACATCAACACCTACAGTATGTAAGAAAAGTATGATTAAAATCATCTTTATCACTTATTATTCCTTAAGTAATTTATTCTGTGTGGAACAATGACTGGACTGTTCAACATCTCACTTCCTGAACATCAACCAAAGCTCAAGAATTGCCTGACTTCTTAGCAGTGTCTTGGCACAACTACAGAGCCACGAGATGGAGCTCTCAGCACTTTCAAGAAAGTCCCTGCTACCCTGGTGAACATCTTGGCCGCTGAGTGTGACTTAAATCTGCAGTAGTGTCAATTAAAGGGAATGAAAACATAATACTGCACGTATAATCCATGATTCTGATTTTATTACATGAACCTTTGAGCATGTCAATGTTAGCAAGGCTTCAAATTCATCAGAGCCAATCAACAGCTGTATGTTTTCTTTAAATTGCCCTTGAGATGAAAAGTTAGTGAGTCTAAATAGAGTGATTGATTAAGGCCTGTTTCTCAATAAAATCCGCCTCCTGACATAAGGAATTCATAAAATGCCAGAACGTGCAAGTCATCCGCCCTAAAGTAGGGCTGAAACATTAAAGCAAGGGGGAAAAAAAGCAAAGGATGCAAAAAGGCAACACAAGCTATCTTACGCAGAAGTTGAACTTGGTCTGCAGGGTCTACTTCAATTATATAAAATGCATTTTTATTCAAAAACGTCTTCCATTACTCAACAAAAGTAGGCTATGTTAAGTTTTGGGTTAAAAGTTGCTTAGTTTACTAGTGGTTTTACAGAGTTATTCTGTAGGTGAAGAGCCGAATTGTCCTTCACCAGTGTTTCAGGGCCAACATGAACACGATGCTCATGTAGAGGTGTAGGTTTGTGTTTCACCTTCCTTCAAAGCAGTTGCTGAGGAGCCAAGATGTAAGTGAACTGAACTGAGCTAACAGAGAGGAGAGGAAGGACTATATCATCCACTGAAATGATCTAGATTATGGGCCAGCCCCCAAGAAATGTATAGATGAACACTGTATGGCGAGAGCTGGAGAGAGCACACAGACATAAGAGTTTGCATCTTTTAGACAGGAATTGCTTCCAAGGAAAATATCTGTATGAATACAACCTGGTTTTATGGCAGTTGAGGTGTATTTGCAAGATTTTCATGTTGTAGGCCTTCAATGTGAGAAAAATGGACAAGTACTCAAGTGCCATTCACACAAGCATATTTATTATATAAATACTTTATAAATTACAGGATTTTAATTATACATGTAAACATTTCTAGGAAAATAATGTTTAATATTCGTATTAATGTTTACAACTAATATAAGGCACATAGTGCAAAAATACATTTCTGATGCAGAGATCACAAAATAATTACCTACACATGTTATCTAAAGAGTAGTTGCTTACATATATGTGATACAGTATTGTTTTTAATTAATACATTTTGCTAACTCATGGCTAAGTCTTTGTGGGTAAAGAGAAAATAGCTGCCATTTGACCTACAAATTTTACTGGCATTTGGTGTACAGAATGCATACTGTCAAAAAAAGTATGTATAATTATCTGGTACATAATATACGTTTATCGAGCACGTAGAAAATCTCATTTTAAATACCTGAGAGTTGGCCCTGAACACATTGTCTTTATACTGCATATACTGCTACAGTTCTGGACTCCAAAGTGATACAAAACAACTCAAACGGTCATTTTTTAAAATGCATCACTTTCATACATTTACTTCTCTGGAAGAAATAATTTTAAATAGCAGATACTAGAAGTGTATTTACATCCATTCAAAAATTAATCCGAGTCACAATGGATGATAAACACATGGTGGGCTGAGGACGCCACTGCCCAGCTTTTTCATTCTCCTTGCTAGAACCTTAGATTATAAAACGGAGACAAGCTACAAACTTTTCTAATATATCATTGGCCAGCATAAAGAATGTATATGAAAAGAAGTTAAGTAAATATATATTCATACAATCACATACAAGATAGTAGGGTAAACAGAATACACTGCTTTTACAGTATAGTTGGATAAGAGGCAGGGATTTAAAATTAGATTTCCAAGCAATTTGTTTCCCTATTTTCTTTTCTTGTACCCACTACAAAACTAAACCTGGATGTTTAACATATGCTGTAGAGACTGCAGAGGTTTGACCATACGTTTCAGTACTATGGCTGGTATCTGAGCACCACAAAGATCAAAATGAAAGGGAGGAGGGAAAAAAAAAAAAAAAAAGAATGTCACAATGACACAAATCTATAGAAACTATCTCAGGAGAAAGTATGTTGGTTACACACTTTTCTGCAGTAAAGTATTGCAGTACTTTACTACGGTAAAGTAATGTAGATTCTATCAATCTATATTGATAGAATGTAATTCCTCAGAAGTTTCACAGAACTGGAAGCATTTGAAAATATTAGCTGTTTTCTCTGTATAACAATAACTTTCTGCAGTTTCGTAGAGTTGATCGAGGCAAACAAGACAGTATGAATCTTTCTGAATACTGCATAAAGAGTTGCACTGATTAATTGCAGGTAAAATTTTACAATTTTGGTACAGGTTAAGGCGTTACCCACAGTAGTAACCTCAGTGCAATTTACTTGCTCATATATACTGTACATTGAATGAATATCTCTCCATTAAAATATGAAGGTTTATGGACTTGTTAGCTCACAAATAGATATTATATCCCTGAATAAGCACTGAGGAAAACTGCAAGGAATTCTTAGTAGTGAGCTTTACTGTACAGAGCATTTCAGAGATCAAAGAATTAAAATATATATAAACAGCACCTGTAATTTGCACCTAAAGGACATAATTCCTGCTTTGATGTCCTTACCACATCAGAGTTTTCACTGTACTTGAAGTTTGAGACCAATAATTGTGTTAGGAATACATTTCCCACAAAATCCTCCACACCTTCCATATATTTTAGTGCCATCCTGGAAAGGAGACAAAAAGAACAATCAAAAGAAGCGACTGAAGTTACAGTTGCACAAAGACCTCCTTGAGGTTTGCCCCAACAGACCTTTTAATAAAACACACCTACAAATACCAAATCAAGAGACAGCACTGAATTAACCGATGTACACAGGGATCCTTTATTGTTATCCATTGTATAGGAACGTGCTTCCTTGCTTAGTATCCACTGTGTTTTAAAAAAATTGTGCATGCTTACTATTCTTGTAGATACTATTGCTCTTGTTACTCTTCTTGTTCAACTGGTCATTTGGTTTACCACACAAATCAAGTTGGAGGTATTTAGTTTGTGATAACCCCCTGTATTTGCTATCCTTAAGCATTTTAATGCATTGTTAAGTAACTTCTAAACAATTAATAAACCATGTTCATATGGCAATAACCCCTTAAAACCAATAAGAGAAGGCTAGGTAGGCAGTGTCAGTCTGCACAAGTTTCTAGGTAGCATGATTAAGGATGACTAGGATGCCATGAGACCCCTAACCATAAATTATCAGGCCTAGCTCTCATATTCCATCTGAAAGAAAATTAATATGGGTCAGGGACCTTGAGTGCTATCCTGAGTGAGAAATAACTTCCACCAGACAGTCGTCCCTGGCTGCTCTGAAGCCATAACAGCCATAACAGCAGGTGAAGAAAAGGAGCATTTACTTACATGGGATTTGTGTATGTCAGCAGTTGCGTAGTTGCCCTGGGCAATCCACCTAACTGTACTGGATAATCTCAGACCTGTACCAGCCAAATTAACACTGAACTGTCCCTAGCAAAACAAAAACAAAAGGCAAAATACAGAGCTGATTGACAAACTCTAAATTGCTTCATATTGGGACATGCGTGCATGCTATTTAGGCTACATCCAGACATTAACTAAAAGTGGATACTTAAGCTGGGTTGGTTAGAATGTTTTATACCCTTTTTCAGACACTCAGGGTACACAGACACAGGAACAAGTTAATTTGCAGTAAGTAGATGAGATGTGGATCAGCTGATCTGCAGCATCTGTTTGCCCAGTTTGAACGCAGGACTAGCAGCAGGGAATTTAAAGGAGCTTAGCCTCCTTTCCACATGTTTAATTTTATTTTGCAGAAAGCACAGGCATGCCACTCCTGCAAGGAGGAGGCCTGCTTTCTTTAAAGGCACATTTTCTAAAGTTGCTGAACATTTGGAGATAACATAGTCAGAAGATACTGCTATCTGTAAATTATAGGCAAATCATTCCTTGATTGTCTAATTCTCAAATTTTTGCATGCCCACTATCCAAACACCCCCTTCTTATCACCTCCCATTTCTATCTCAGTTTAGCTGTTAACATTATTTAATATTAAAGTATTCAATGAAAGTGGAGTTTAAAACAAGTAAATTTAACACTAAATAGAATGCTTTGCTATACTAAATATTGACTGGATTGATTCTAAGCATTCTATTGATTCTAAAATCTTTGCTTACACAAATGCATTCTTTGAAAACTAGCTGTAAAACAATTCATAAGAGAAGAGGAGTTATATTTAAAGCGGTAAACTTCACTAATGTAGTAAACAAATTCAGAGACAGAAAATGATTCAATTACATTCACACAAGAGCTCAAAATCTTGGAAAGCAACTACTAGTTCCACAAAGAGATGCAGATGTCTAACTGTGAGTTTACAGAGAATTGGAAAGCCCTTGCCATTTAATTCATTAAAGACCTGAATTTCTATAGTCATTACCAAGGCAAAAATGCCTAAATCCTAGGATCAAAAGATATTTAGCAAAGATATAATCTCCATTAGATACTGTAGCTACTATATTCATTGTTTAATATCATCACAATGAGAGAGATACATTTATATATATACAAATATATGTGTGTATGTTTAAAAATTAAAGCATGCAGTCTTTATTCTTGTGATTTACCAAATTCTTTCATAAAAATTCCTTACATTGTTCAGTATGGTAGGTTTGCTTTAGTTTGTTTTGCCTGCATTTCTGTGTAAATTTGTGGTGTTCATAGTAGGATGAACTACCATAAGTTCATATGGAAGGGGGAGGTTCCTCTTCAACAGCCAAAAGAAGAAGATATTCGTTTAATGACATAAAGCATCTGGACAAAGCTCAAACAAATGGTGTGAACCACTGTCCACAATTAACAGGCCCACAGTAACTTTACCCATGGTAATAGCATTGTGTGAAAATAAATTAAATGCACAGAGTGCATATGCACAATTGTAATTATAGCACAGCAGCTGTCTGCCATGCATTACACTCAAGGGCAGGAACAGCTTTCAACGACTGAGAGTGAAGGAGCTGATGCCAGTTGAGACAAAAGCCATTAATTAGTTCCAGTGAATATCTTATAGAGGGCAATACATAGTGCAAAAATACATAAGCAGAAGAACTTCCTGCTATGGATCACGACGCAGTTGCCTGGGTCTGTGGTCACACACAGTACAGAGTTGCCCTAAGCCCAAAGAGTTTGCAGGCTGAAGGTATCCAGCAAGGTAATGAACTCTGAATGACTGTCTTCATGTCAGAGGTTCAGGTTGTCTAGTTTAGACACTTTATTTCTACTTAAACTGTGTGTATTTAGCTGTTCTTGAGCGCCTCTACCCACATAGCCTGCCTGCCTATGCCTAAGCAGCTGGGTTAGACAGACAGGGAGTATTCACCCCCATGCAATTCTGAGCTTGTTGGTCTTCACTCTTTCAGTGAAAAAAAATACACACTTCCAAAGCAATTTATTTCATCTTATAGAAAAGTAAGATTAGATTAGTTGTTTCCTAAGAGATTCCAGTTGTCAATGGGTAATCAAGGTAGTTCAGGCTGACGAGCTCAGCCCAGGGTTATGTCAGAATTAGCAAGTAGTCTGATGTAGTATGAGCAAATCTGTAGAGTTAAACCACTGGATCAAAGGGCCCAATTAACAGATCAGGGGTGTTACTTTGGACTAACCCTCCTCTAGTCCCATAGCCTGCGTTCTCATGAGTGGCTGAAATGCATTAAGCCCTACCAGAGCTCATCCAGATTTAGTTGCTTCCTAAAGAAACTCAGTTCATGGGAGCCAAGACTGTTCCATGATGTGATGTAAAGCACAGTAAGCAAAGACGTATGGCAATTTACTCAAAAAGCACTACCCAGTCCAAACTAAAATACCAATTTAGGCACATTCATAGATATGTCTATGAATCCGACTCTGTGTAGCAGGATCAACTTTATTACCTTTCAAACATATGAAGTCAAGAGAAAAGAGCAACAAAAAGCAACATTTGGTAGGATCATAGCAAAGAAAATCATTGGAAGGGAAAAAACAAAGATTGAGAAGGAATTTAGGGAAACGAGATATTCCATATCTAGATACGAATTCAAGAAGGAGAGAGAACGATAATGAAATCAGCAGAAAGATAGACACACATGAAATCTCAGGATAAAGTCTGGGGTAAACAATTTGTGGCAGAAATTGAAAAAACTTGTATAGTTTTAGAGAAACTATAAGTTTGTATAGAGAAAAAGGAAACTATAAGTTTGTATAGAGAAAAAGAAAGAATTGCTTACTAAAGTAATAAAAGATGAGACTGAACAGGAATATGTTTTAGCACCTTACAGCTCTCCACTAGCCATACAGATTCTTTTCTCTTTAGTGCATGCTTTGAGGGCATAAGAAATCATAAATACCTGTGGACATCTGGCAGCACTGTAGCAATCTCCAGCTGTTGCAAATGGAACTGCTTTCCCAAGTACAGTCTGAGCAAAAAGAAAATCTGTGGCTAAGAAACAGAAAATTATCCAACACTGAAACTGCTGTATTAGAAGTCTGAGTGAAAACAGGGTAAAAAAGCATGAATATATAATTTTCCCAAGCTATTTTTTAGGTAGTCCATTTTGACTAATAATAACAATATTCAAGGTAGATTTCCAGATGCCAAATATGACAAAGCAGACTAGACATTTCCTCAGTAATAACTGCATGGAAAACTAGCCATGGATTCTTCTGCTTTATTATTTACAAATTTGTATATTGACATAGGGGGATTAATTTGAATAATGTGATAACTTCTAATATCCTTCTTTCTCTCTGCAAGATATATTAAGTAAATTTTTCTTGTTTTGCTAATTCACTGAGAATACATTATGTATGTCTTAGAAATGCCACAGGACACCTTCAAGAGGCCCAAAGTCTGAAATTACTACCTGGTGCAAAGCGTAGCCTGTCCCTAGAGAGCCTACTGCCTCCTAATAAGAACAAGGTAAATTAGAGCAATGCTGGGCACTGCTCCTGACACCGCCATTTTTATACTTTTTGAGTTAATTTACCTCATAGAGACACAGATACCATATTCATGTCTTTTGAAGCCTCCATAAAGTATTTACAAATAAACATTAGAAACTTCATATTCAAGGTCAATCCGACCTACACATCTGGGTTTTTTTCAGAGCTACACAGGGGATAGCAGGAGGACTGATGTGCACTTGGACTTAGCTTTATTGTGAGTGGATGCTGGCCAGCCTGCTACCTTCAGAAAAGATCTTGGAAGTGTTGCAAGTTCCCTGTTCTTTTCAAGTGTCCTCTAAGGACGGAGAAGTTATTAAACTGCAGCATATGAATACTTGCCCAAGAAAAATATGCCAGGGAATAAAAGAGTTTTAATCTAGCAGAAAATGGCATAACACAAAGAAAATCCTAAAATGATATTAGTTACCTAATCCGTACTTTGAATAAATTATGAATCTGTAAGAATAAAAACTCGGGACAAGTTAGAAAAGTAAGTGGTTAAAAAATTAAGAATTCAAGAATTGAATATAACTGAAAGCAAAATTTTGTTTTCCCCTAGCTGGCATAACTGGATCTATAAATGAGTTGAAAAAACAGTTTGGTCATGACCATTTCTAAATAAAATGCTCAAATTGGACAAAATTTCTAAAATGCTTACTTTGAATTTGCATGGAGGCAACATCGATTCTTATTTTGCTAAAAACAGTGAAGCCAGCTGCAAGGTAGTCATTTCGACAGGCACAGTCTTGCCGTCTGCTTCCATTGAAAGGACAGTCATATGGATTCTGCAACCTAGAGAATGGCAAAGGTTTACTTTTCTTTTTGTCATTTTTCTATAATATAATTTTGTAGTGAAAAATAATTACATTGCACTGTGCTGCGAGAAGAATACTAAAAAATGGTTATTGAACAAGAAGTTCAGGTACTAATCTTGGCTCAGGTGAAACACTATTGTGGACTGAAGCCATTTCTACTAAAGGCAAGATAGAAAATGCATGTGATCAGTTAGCTCAGCTAAAGCACCTGGCCTGGAAGTAACCACATTTTGGTAAGTGTGTTCACAAGCCCAAAAAATTAAAATATAAGTCTAAGACAATATATTTCTACTCTTCTGTTCTCCCAAAAGATAAATGTTATTCTGTTCTTTTATTTTGGATGAAACAAATGCACTCTTGAAGCTGCAAAAACACTTTTGTACCTGAATCCATAAACTTCAGAAAAGTTGTCTGCTTCACCTTTTACCAATGTCAGATATTCTTTGGGATTCTCTGAGTGCATGTCTGCACAATAAATCTGAAAGGGAAAATACAGCCATTTAGCATTCTTTTATTTTAAAATATATAATTTTATAAAAAATTTGTGCTATGTATATTAAAAGTACCTTTATCATCTTCCCTTTAATGTTAAGCAAGTATTCACCATCATTTCTAATTCCTTTTTTAATCTGGACATCTTTGCAGGTGGTGAGATTTTCACCTTCAAAATGAATGATTAAACGATATAAATATTTCATGAATAGAAGTTAATTTTAAGAGTAACTTCTGCATAATTGTGCTCCAGATATTTAGAGCTTTTATATAAATAATCTGGGAGAGCATTTAGTTCAGCTCTACATTACAGCTGTCACTTACATTCTTCTGCTTGACAGATTTTTCTGGCAGCTGGTTTTAAACGTGTCAGGCACAAGTCACTGGTTGAGCCATTTTCAGTCCTACATTCTACCGTCCTTTCCTTTACCCCCACTCCACAAGGCGCTGAGCACTAGAAATGGATAGCAAGACAGGGTTAATTTAATTTTACCTAAATATGCCAGCAAATTAGTCTTGGCATGCACACATATTTGAGGCAGCAATCAAAAATCAGCTTGCACCTCTGTGCTCACCTTGGTCCACTTCCCCACTTTCCAAGTAGCTGCTTGTGAACATCCTTTGATATTGCATTTATAAATGTATGGAGAGGGGGTCACTGGGCATTCTCGGTGTGCTGCAGGTCGGAGACCATTGTCGAGTTTCTTTGGAATGGAATAGATTCCAACACAGTATGTGATCCTCTGCTGGTAATCAGCCCCACAGCTGCTCGAGCACTGAAATAAAATCCCCAAGCGAAGACATTATTTCTGTGAAACTGAACCTTTCTGCCGTGTTGTAATCACAGGCAAGTCAGTTATGGTCTTCCTTTCCACAAAAGCTTATGATGGAATATGTGCTAGCTCAGTGTTGGTCAAACCTGTGCAGAAGTGAAGGTGTACCAGGATTTTCCTAAAGAGGTGGAAAGTCCCAACTCTTTTCTCTTCCCTCTACTGAAACTCTAGAAAATATTTCTGTTGGCTTCACTGAGATCAGATTGCAAGAGAATTTTCCTGGGAATTAGCAAAGGAATTCTGTGGTAAGGGCAGCTGTCCTTGAGCTGGTATTCACAGGTTCCACACAGGGTAGCCGAGAATGGCAAATTTGCGTAAAATGGCAAAAGTGTCTAAAATACAGTGGCAGCTGCAACAAAGGGAGACCAAGGGAAGAAGAGAAAAGGAAACTTGTCCCACTGATCTTCCAGCCAGTATGCAATGCTTTCACCATTTTATTTACTTTTTTGTTTTGTTTTTTTCTTTATTTTATTTTAATTTTATTTTATTTTATTTTATTTTATTTTATTTTATTTTATATATTTATTTTACTCACCCTTAAACATAACTTAGAGCAAATGGATCCTACCACTGCCTTTTCCTGTTCATGTTCCAACTACCACTCATTTTATCATCATTTGACATCTCACACTATAGCACTGTCTTCTCTAAGACCAAACACAATTTCTTTTTAAAAACTTAGTTTCCCATAATGGTTAGCAGCTGCCAAGAACTACAGAATATGGAGACCAAAGACTGATAGAATCAATAAAATAAATCACGGTTGATTGGAAGGTTCAACGTGGAGAAATTTTGAGCGCTCACGTTCAGATTAATACACATTTTTGTTTCCCACACATAATGCACATTTTACAACAATAAAATACTCTCAGGCGTAAAGCTATATAAAAGATGTGTGAGTAATATAATTACTTTACCTGTGACAATTCTCCTGTAAGTACAACATATTTAGAAGGAGCAGCCCTGCAATTTTTGGCTGATGGTGGCTTTAGGGCAGGATCACAGAAGCTTTCATCCACTTGGATCTGTTTTTCATCCACACACTTAACTTCCCGGTGTATTTCTTTTCTTCTGTGTGATGCTGAGCACTGTGTAGGAGAAAAACAATCACAGATTTTGTACTTAAACTAATCATTTGCAGAAGAGTTATTTGCCAATTGCCACATGCCAGTAAAATCCAGATGATTTTTATGACAACTGTTATCTAGGTTGGACTGAATCAAAATCCTTTGCATTATTCTCAACCTTCAGGTACCCACAAAAGGCTGAGGAGGGGGAAAAAAAGGTATATAGTGATATTAGAACATGTGAAATGGGATGGAGGAGAAACGGAAAATGTAAATGGAAGAATAATAGGGCTTGGAAAAAAAAAAAAGAAAAATCCTGGAGGCATCCACATGAAATTACATGGATAAAACAAATGAAAACAAAACTGCCTACTAATAAAAAGTGGCGGCATTGGGCAGCTCTATTTGCTGAGCGTGTGTCTCTGCCCCAAGTGTGTTCACGCCTTCCTGCCATGGTGGCCATATGAGGTGGAACCAGATCAACAGGTCTGTCAGCACGGAATGAGAATCCTGGAGTTAGCAGGATGCACAGGAGGGAGGCTAAAGGTTAAGCAATACACGTCAACAGCACATCCCCAACCACGGGGGTTTGGACTATAGAAGCCATAAATGTGTTAATCCTTTAAGAAACTTAGAATGAAAATGTTGTATAGACTTTTAACTTTGAAAGTTGTGTGGACATTGACTTTTAGCAGGGGATGCAGTATTGATACAACTGGCAGATGCAACTTTTATAATATCTGATCTTTTAATGACATGGAGTCGCTCAGACCCAGTCATTTGGAAATAGGGAGATGAAGGAGAATAGCTTTGATTATGCTATGCTTATTTAATTATAGGCATTATTCCTTCAGTGATTCTTCATTACGGTATGAGAATACATATTTGGGCTGAAACTGCTGGGTGCCAGCCAGGCTTCCAGCCCTCTGAAAGCTGTAAGGATGCCAGATCTGAAAAATTTTGTGATATGCTGTGATTGATGAGGCGAGGAAATGACACACGAGCACTCAGAGCCGAGACAGCTGGGCAAGCTATTCTGGTATTGAGCACAACTCACACCAGGAGTGGAATACAGATGGATAAACTCTTGAAGAAACACTATTAATGGTAGATGTACAGGGCTGTATATGTATCTGATGAGAGAAGGGAATTGGATACAGGAATTTCAAGAAAAAAGCAACAAACATGTGGAAGAAGTTACGAACTACCCAGAAGATACAGCAAAGCACAATGTATTTGTAGTTGAGAACTTTGAATACCCAGCTGGAAAATGCAAGTTTTAATGGGTATGGAAATTTCACCCTCATTCTTTGAAAATGCTTCTTTCTGACTAAAAGTACATTCTGAGCTACTTACACTCTTATCTCCTGATTTTAATGACATTGTGATTAATGTGGTTTTCTTCACATGAGAAGTTAACTCTTGGAAGAAGCTTACATATTGTCAGCTTTCTCTATATATGATTTAACAGAGGGAAGCATGCTAGTCATGTGAGTATTGACTAAACCTTTGTATAATACCACAGCAGCACACAGCATTTACTTGTACAACATAAATCTTGTGCCTCTTAGAGTTTTGAGTTTCATATTTGAGGTTAAATTCTCCTAGAAAATTTAAAAATATAGATGCCACAACTGCACAAACTGGATTTTTATTTAATGTTACAGTAAAAGAGAGTTTCTTCTGTACATCATTTCATGTGTTATCCACAATTTTGGGTTCTTTCTTTTTCTCTCTGTATGTCTGTATGCATTTATTCATATTTCACAATCTCCCTTTTTTAACCATATATTCTAGCCAACATTTCTTACGTCTTTCTATTTTTAAAATGTGATTTTTGCATGATAGCTCATCATGAAGTTATTAAATATTTTATGCCATCTAAAAATAACTTTTCATTAGAATTACACAGTTCTATGAAGAGAAACCTGCTCATAGCTTCACTAAAGCTTGCATATACAATGGTAGATGAGCAAATTCAGTAACAGGGAGAGGGAGGGAGACAATGCAGCCCTCAGAATTTGTTTTCCCCTTTTTATTTCCGCTTTGCAAGCTTCACCTTGAAAACATCCAGCATCCTCTTGTTTGTTCGCAATCTAAAAGCTATCAGAAATGTATCCAAAGGTGAAAAAAAAAGCAAGAAAACCCATTATATCACACATTGTTACTCCAAACAGGTTGAAAGGTCTTACTTACATCTTCCCATTCATCTGTCAACCACTTGTACTGCACGCAGGCAGGTAGCCAGCAATGCCTCTTGCTAGGGGGTCGTGTGTCATGACTACACATTGCTTCATCCACTTGACCCAGGCCCTTCAGCTGACAGTAGACATCCCTTTGCTGAATTCCCACTCCACAGGATGCAGAACACTAAAATTGAGCAAAATGAGCTATGTCAGAATGAAACGAGACAATCAACCTGGTACGGTTTCCATTATTAAATGTTTTTAAGATATTGTTTGAACGCTTGACGTACGTACTTCACAGTTCCTAACACAGAGGTCTGAATAAATTTATGATGAAAACATAAAATTATCATCTAAGTACCTTTAACGAATAATGAGAAATGAGTCCAAAGTGCTCAGATGGATCTGTTTACTTACTGTACTTCACAACAGGGACACCAACCATAAGCAAAGCAAAATTATAAATTTTTGCAAGATCACACAATCTCAAATTTAATATTTATATCCTTCCTTTATTAAATTATAGTATAACAAGCTGTTGTTTTAAAAAGTAAATGTGAAAATGAAAGAAAGTGTTTTTGGCATCTCAGGCTAGAAAAATCGCATGAAAGGTGCAGCATCTTGAATTGTGATGAGCTTGAAAAGGTTCAAATCCCTCCTGCTAGATGCCTCTTTTCCTTTGTCCTGCCCAAAACACAGCTTGTTATAAGGGTAAGATTTGCTCGAGGAAAGCAGACAGCCCGCAGCTATCCCAGTCAGAAGGATGATTAGGTCCTAACACCTACCAGAAGACGCAGCCTAATCATAAAGTAGATATTTCTCTGTCAAGTGTGGCAAAAGTGCCAAGACTGATGATAAATGGCATTCTGCATTTCATCACCGCTGATTTTATACAGAGCTGGCATCACCTCATCTTGTGATACGGAATAATTACATGTTTTGTCTCTATAAGTTCAGAGTCCAGGTCTTTTTGTTGGCCTAACTTTGCATGGCATCTGTTTCTGTATCTTTATGTGTACTTTAACACTCCTTATCAATTGGAAATGGTCTCTAATGCTCAGGGCAATAGCAGAGTGCCTCTTTTGAAAGTCAATGCTTTTTCTTCTTAATTTTAAATCTCAGCGTAATATCCTACCAATTTATCCGATATTTGTCTGAACTTAGATATATCAGTCTCTGCTGGATCACTTCAGTTTCTCAGAGTTGGAATTTGAGTGGGAATCTTGAAATTTGTGACGGATGAGAAAGAAAAGCTCTAATTCTGGCCTATACAGGGCAAAACACTTGATTACGGCCCCTGTGAATGTCCTAGGCCATCACATGGGGAGGTTTTAATACTAAAGCATCAGTAAGGAAAATGGAGATGTCAACATCCTAACAGGACTGGCAAAGGCTTTCCTTTTAAAGACTTCCTACTCAATGAGGTATTAAATTTTAGGCATGTGATTATTGAATGGAAACATTGGAAATGCCAGTAGCTAGCTGGATATCCCTCATTAGTATGACTGCCACGTGAAATTAGAGGACATTGAGGAACGGTGGCAGACCCTCCACTTTCACAGCTGGAATAGAGAGACAGAAGATAAAATTCTTTGCAAATGTCAAGGTCAAAGGAATGAGTGTTGGCATGTGTCCCAAGTGTAGACTACAACCTGACACAAAAAGTTAAATTACTTTTATTAACAGGATATGGTCTGAGTCCCTGACTTAGCCTGACCAGCTTGTGAAATTGAACATCTGTACCAGAGATCATCATGGAAATTCTTATTGACACAAAAGGAAGCAGAAGGCTATAAAGATGGTTCTTGAAAATGTGTAAGATTGAATCACCTTAGTTCATTCATATGTGACACTTCTCTCTCATATTTGCTCCTTTCCACCCACAGAACCATGTGCTGTTACTCCTTAGTGCAGCATTATCTTACCAGGATTTCGAGGCTTGAGCAACCACTATATGACATAAAAAAGTTCTTCCACATTCCCTAACACATTTTAATATAATATAATATAATATAATATAATATAATATAATATAATATAATATAATATAATATAATATAATATAATATGATAAATTTTATATATTTAACTACTATAATATAAAAATATTTTTAGATACCCAGTCCCCACAGTTCTTTGCCAAATATGGCAAAGATCATGAAACATGCCCCTTTTCTAAGAAACAAAACAAATGTTCCTACACAGTTTGAATGGAAAAGGCTCAGTACCAGATGTTAGGGTGAGATTCTATTTTCCAGACAGAATAGTAACTTAACTGATAACTTTCTAGGAGTCTAAATACAGGTATAAATGGCAGAATTGAGTCTGTATACAAACTTTTGTTTCTATGAGGTTTTTATCACCACAAATGTATAGCTTACTACAGAATATGCAAACAAGAGTAGAAAGACAAGATACTGGAACAGAGAAAGTTCCTTTAAATTTCCTCAGACTATATCTTTGAGGACAACCATGAAGATCATGCTTTTAATTACAATCTAGAATGCAAAAGAACTAGAATGAAACTATTTACAGTGAATGATTTTACTGCTGTAATAATTTATTCAGTCTAAGAATATTTCACTCAGACATATAGACAGGTGGACTTGTCAAAGATAACTCAGACAAATTCAATTCAAGTTGTAAAACTTGAATTAAAGTTAGAAGCAAGTTTGACAGATTAGTTCTGAAGAACCTTCCTGAGTTTCTCTACCTCTAGTCCATGCTCTAGAGAGCAGCCGAGCCCTTACTGTATTTATTTTGTAAATTTGTAAACAAATTGATCTATTGCTGATTCTTTTAACTCCCTACCCCTAAGGTGGCCATGGTCTATTAATTGTAATCTACTAGTCACAATCATAGGCTTAAACAGGATTGCAAAAGAAAAAAAAATCCTCAAACCAACACCAAACCACCAAATCTATCTGTCTTTTTTTTCCTAGGGAACACTTTCTTCCACTTCTGTAAGAATTAATTTAATTAAAGCAATATACTATCCATTGATCTCACTTTAAAGGTAAATGAAAAGAAATATAGCTATTTCACTTTTCCTGCAGTGACTATTCACTGATCTGAGAAGCAAGAGAACATAGTTACGGTTGGACTCAATGATCTTGAAGGTCTTTTCCAACCATAATGATTGCATGATTCTATGATAGTCCAGTGGCTATGGCATTCACTTGGAAAGACAAGATCCTGGCTGCTAGTTCTTTCACCATAAAATATTTTAGCAAAAAAAAAAAAAAAAAAAAGCACGTGCTGGGATCCCCCTTCAAAGAGATTTCTCAGTGGAAGTTGGTTTTTTACTACCTGAGAAAGGAATTTAACAATGTGGGTGAGAAATAACCTTTTAAAATTTACTCTTATCTTGATTTTATGACATAATTCAGTCTTCGTTCCTTGCAGAAAGTCCTAATAAACTATTCTGTACATGTTTAGATGGACAACTACTTTCAGGTTTCTCAGATCTCTAGTAGACTAGTTTAAAAAAATGCAAAACTATTTGCTAATTTGTATATTTAATTTTGAATTTCATATTAAAAAAATAGAAATTATTTTCATTGAAGTCACAAATATAGGATCTTTCAATCTTACAGAAGAACATAATTGAGCAGATTTTAAATACCTCTTTCCATCTGTTGGTTTTCCAAGCAGGGCATCTTCCAGCTCTACAGATTTTGTGTGTCCGTGGTTTTTTTAAATGGCTGCAGTTTCCTTCCTCTATTTTAGCTTGGAAACTATTAAAGCAATGCACATCACGATACTTCAAACCTTTTCCACAGGAAACAGAGCACTGCAAAAAAGAGAGAAGTGTACTTCACTACTTCATGAAAAATCTCTAAGTAACAGGAAAATCAGAAAAAGCTGTGGCCTAGCTTAGAATGGACTCTAAATTATATGGATAAGTTTTTGTATTATGCCATAACTTTTACTATGTTTCTGCATAAATTCTCTTACACTGAATATTACTGATCAGCTGCCAACTGTCTAACAGTTTCATTCATTCATGCAATCACTTACGAGTAACTGAGCTCCATTGTCCATGAAGGAGATAGCTGAACATCATGATCTCAGGACAATACACTCTAGTTGCCTTCTGTTTTCACTAAGCTGCTGGAAATTGCTATTTTTGTGTAACACTATAAGTGTTAAAGTTAAAAAAATAGCAATGTATGCCTATGCATGTGTTCAGCATTAAGCTATGAAGTCCTGTTTTCTCTGGTACGTCCCTTCCATGAGCTTTGGATTTCTTGCTGTATGTGGCATAGAGCAAGAGAAGGGGTGGAAAGTAGCCACCAGGTTATGGTGCACTCCTGGAAGGCAAATATATTTTGTGAAGCCAGTCCCAAGGGTATGAGCCAATAACGGCCAGAAAATATCTGATACTTCATTCATTCATTCTACTATCAGGAGGTTTCGGTATATGAGGACAATGCCTTTTCTACCTGGAAACAGAACATGGTTAATTTATTCTAGGATTTACACTGTGATTTATTCTACACGTGGGCAAACAGATACACAACAATGAGGTAGAAAATTAATATTCAAATCAAAGCTTAATTTATAAACAGATGTGAAAACGGGGATTTAACTATATACTTTCTTCCAAAGCACTTATGATATTCTTCTTCTTTTTAGCTGAAATTGTCATCCATGTCACTAGCAACACACATTAACTTAAATAGGCATTTTTACATAAATATATCTTCTGTCTTCTGGAAATTAAGTTCACAACATACATCTATGACTGTATAAAACCTGAGAATTATTTGCAATCTTTAAAATACAGAACCAACAGTTATATCAAATTAATTTGCTAAAAAAGAAAAAGAAAAAAATAGGAATATTTTACAGTAACAGTTCCTACACTTCATTAAATAGAATTTCAGCTGGCTTATCCTCAATACTATAGGGATTTGTATGTGTGCTTAAGCTTTTATATGTAGGAACAGTCTTATGGATTTGATTGAAACTGCCAATGTGCTTAAAATTAAAACTTTGTGGGATAAAGTAGTAAGTTGTAATTATCCTACAATACAATAGATACACTTTTTTCTCTTATGGAAGTGTAAGTATATTTGCAGAAAGTTAAGAGGACTGATTTGCCAACAACTTCCCTTTTACATACCTACTATGCAATTCCAGCATTATCCAACATAAATGAGAATGTTTCTACATTAAATAATTTTGCAACAAGCAAAACTTTACAATTTATACTGCTTATGTAGTTTTAGAATTTATATTTCAATAGCTTAGATACTACTTAAAGATAGGGAAATGTTTCCTAGAAAACAATTGCCTGCAACTAAACTCATTTTATCTATGAGTAAGGTAGGTTAGAAAACATACAACTCTGCAAACCATATAATTACAAAGTCATTTCAAAAACCAGCTCTGATTTCAGAGGATTTAAACATCAAAGCAGGTATAGATAACATGCACACATAAAAACTAAAATAGCAAAATGATCTTGATAAATGCTTCTACCCTTCCTTAAAGCTTTTTCAGGAATTTCAAAATGAATCATAAAATATTTGTGCAAAAGAACACCCTAAATCTAAAGATTTTTTTTATTTTTTTAGTAGAATGTAAGTTAATGCAACACAAGTTTACTTGACTTCCTCCTATGATGTGTTACGAAAATATCATATGACCCTCCTTCCTCAATTGCTTTCATCTGCAAAGCATAAATTAAGTCCTAAAGGCTATTAGCCAGATCTCTCCTAGCCCTTCTTGGGACTTCATTCAAGACACAGAATTGCAGCTTAAGAAATTGTCTCAAGAAGTCTCCACTTCTAGAGGCGAGGTTACCATAGCACAGAATACTAGGAGTAATAGAATAGTACCTACTCGTAGGAAATCCTACGTTTTAATTTTTTGTTACTCTCAAGATTAAATATCAAGACAACCCTTTTCATTACATATGATATTATTCATTGCATATTATGATATTTGTATATATAGACTGTGCAGATTTGCTTTATTGAATAAAATTGTAATAAGTGTAGAGGGTGAACAGCTGCTAATGTCAGGAGAATATACAAAGAAATAATTTACCCTGCATGTGTCTGTGTTTCTACTTGCTGAATGCAACATTACATGGTCATTTCTACACAAGGTAGAACTGAGTCTGGTTTTGTTCATTTTTTTTAAAAAGTCACTTACCCACATTCAACTGAATTACATCTCTAATATTAATTAATTTAGCATTTATAATCTGCGCTGCTCTTTATTATACATCTGTATTAATACATTATGTAAGATAAATTTGTAAAACATTTTCTAATGAAAAGATTGTTTATAAAGATATTTCACTGAATTTTGTATTTAGAGTACAATTACACAGGAATTAGAGAATAAATATTTACTTTTTCCATATGAGAGGGGAAGCTGATGAGAGAGTTCAGAAAGAAAAGATAGCTTTGTGTGTGAAGAACAGAGGCATTAGGAACAGATATTTCAAATAGCTTTTAAAGTTTTAACTTGGCTTAACTAAACTTTGTTTAGTCAAATACAGCTCAAGCTTCCTGAAGCCTATTGCTATCCTAAAATAAAATGTGGAAACACATGAAAGATGCCTAAAAGTTTACTGACAGAAGTACCTTTTCATTAGTTTTAAAGTATTTTAAAACTTGTCATTTAATTATGAGAACTATAACTTCATCTTCCAGTAACATAAGTTTCAACAAATTAATTGAAACTTTATTTTTTCTTGTAAGAGTTATGAAATTACTGAATATGTTCAAAATACAGTAAGTTTTCACCTACAAAACATAAAGTTTCCAGAAATACACAGAAATCATATCTGCATACAATTTGGTATACTTTTGTGTATTCATCAGATTAGGATATGTACTTTCTTGTACCCAAACCTACTGCTGAATATCATATACTAAAAAAGGAACTTCACTGTGCAAGCTGTAATATGCTTGCACATATGCTCTGCTCTTCAAATATCATGTGTTTTAACTCATTAGCTTTTTTTAAAGCTTTTCTTTGACTTAAGAGTATTAGAAGAGCACTGAAATTTAAATCACAAGGTTAATGCATGTTTGTTGTTTCAATTAAGGAAAAATGTGGGTGTCTCCTAACCAAGATCAGTGAGAGGAAGAGAGACCTAGATATCCCTTTGCATCTTCAACGAGACCTACATAAAATTGAGACTACTAATTCCAAGCTTGTGCTTTTTAGACTTGCAGAGGGGTCAGTTACTTCTGGAAGCTTTTACACCTCACTAAGGCACAGTCTGACACCTTAAAATGCTCATTTGGTGGTTGAATAATCTATTTATACAAATATGGGCAAGTCTTTTAACAGACTGACTAGGTCAGTGCTTAACAGTGCCCATGGTGCTTGATATGCACGTAAGGATGATCATGACCCTGAGAACAGGTTTTTCTCTATTTCCACTAAGAGAGGGCTAAAAAGCAATTGCAATTACTCTAAAATTACAAGTATGCTATACTTTTGTCAAGTGAACAAGGCACCTTGCAAATCACTGTGATAGATATTAATGCAACCAAAGAAAGACAAATACTTTTTTTTTTTTTTTTTTAAAAGTCCAGACATCTGTTCTAGATAATAGATGATCCAGAATCATCAATGAAAATTTCAAGAAGGTGCATTGCTCTTTAGGTAAAGCACTCTTCTCAAACAGGAAACGTTCCATCTTGATTCCTTAGTTAACCATTCTGTGATAATATAAAAAAAAAATCATTCTTTAAGGGACTATTTCCTCCCAGAATGTCCTTACATAGAGGCAGGCTGGCTCAGCTGTGTTCACTGTTGCACAGTGGCCCACCTTTAGCAGCAGAAGTGAAGAACACTCACATCAAGAATGTCCAACAGCTTCTTGCTGGTGACTCCTGACAAGCAGGAGATGAATGTTGACTGTCCTCCAGCACAGAGAATGTATACCAAGGAAAGGAAGCCAGATCTCTCCAATACAGAATCAAAGGCTCTAATGGAAAGGAAGTGGGGATGCTTCTTCCACTTTAAGTAAAGATGGAACACAGTACCTCTTTGATAGAAAAGTATAGGCTCTTTGATAGAAAAGTATAGGCTCCAAGTTTGCAGAGACGATCCCAGACTGTGAATTTCAAGTGGCAGAGACATCTAAATGCACCTAATGGTAAGGCATCTTGCACTGGAGATATATTCTCATTTTTGGTATTTTATTTACTATGGAGATTTGAATACAGACCTAAGGCAGTGTCTCTACCCCTTTTAGCTTTAGGCTCAGAAGTATCAATTTTACCCCTGTACAGGACTGGAGTTTCACTCTGTGTTCTGGTATCTGCTTTAGTGTCTTTAGTATCTTTAGCCTATAGCACACTTCTTACATGGCAGTTTTGTCATTCAGAAGCCCATGTTCTTTCCTGGAGCTCCTAACCCATTAAAGACACACAGCTGATATTGCACACCAGTTGGAAGTCTTTCTACTTGGTGCCTACTCTGTTCTGCAAGATACTGTGGAGATGATTTCCCCAAAGCTTCGCTCTCCTCACTGGAAAAGGTATAACTGCACCTAACTCTCACTGCTGGACTTCTTTTACTTGATAATCCTGCACAAGGCCCAGAAAAATTTAGCCCAACACATCAGATTACACATGACATGACAGCTCAACACATCTATAACATGGCTTCATTTGCATAACATTCCACATAACTCCTGGCTTATGGAGAGTGCATTTTCCATGTATTTTTCTGGGGAGAGCATGTGTACAAAAAAACCTCTAGAAACTTTAAATCATAAAAGAAAAAAAAAAACTTGAAGAAACATTCTGTAAGCAT